GGCCGTCGTCGCCGCTCAACTGCAACCGGAAGCCCCGCCAACGTGAAAGGGAAGCCCAACTCCGGCTTATCTTCCTTTCTCTCGTACAAACACACGACGATTATCCGATGTTCGGGCAATATTGCAAGATATTTTGAAAAAGTGATTTTACAAAATTGTCACCGGGTATATTGATAGCAGCGAACCACGATCGACGCAGGATCTCGACGTGGGATAAGTTTTCTATGAGTAATAGGGGAAATAAGTTGGCAGCCCTGTAGCGTTAGATAGATCGATTGCTAATAATTTACATGGCACTGGGGGGTTTTATATTTATAACGAGTCATTCCGACCAGAATCAACCCTCCGTATTCACCTGTCAATTGAATGGCGCCCCGAAGGCGTCTCACGTTGCCTGTTCACTTTGGATATAGTTGAATTTCCGTTACTTTTTTTTTCCCTCCCTGTTTTCCCATCTTTTTCCTCCTCTTCCTTAGTCCCTTAACATCACCAGGGACGACCCTTGCTACTACGTGGCCCGACCCGACTCCCCAATTCTCCGACCATTTATTTTTAGAGAGAATCTTCACCGAAATAAACTACCCTCGCCGAGAATAGCTCTGCCGCCCACCGAAAGTATGAGCTATCTCTCCCGACGCCTTTGCTTTTCTTACTTTTTTTTTTTTTCCACCCTCACCCGATCGCCAACTGGCAGGCTGTACAATGACATTTATCTAGCACTGACCGTAAGTCAGGATCAAAATTAAAAGGCGGTCTTTAGCTTTCAAGACTTCCTACAGAAAGTTTTGGATTCACTGGGCATTCGCGCCGAGAAACCAGCAACCTTCCTTTTCCTCTTCCTCGTATTGATTTCTCCACCAGGAACGTGGCTCTAACGCTCGACCATACTTGCGTGTATATATATATATATATACATCGCTAACCCCACGGCTATTGGTCCGAGACAAATTGTTGTTTTCACAGAATCGCGATAGGGGTGACGTAATGGCACGGGGCTGTGAGAGCGAAAGCCAAAAATGGTCTTGGCTCAGTCAAAAATTGAAG